ATCACTACCTACAAGTTCTCCTCCAAGTCACACACCATCCTGACGTGGAATTATATCCTGGGGTTAAAATCTGGGGAACTCCCTTCCAGACTGAACTGTGAGTGTACCTGCACCATGTGGACTGCAATGGTTCAAAGGAGCAGCTCACCATCACCTTCTCAATGTCAATTAGTGAATAGCAAGAAAAGTGGGCCTAGCCAGCAATGGTCATATTATGTGAAAGACTAAAATGAAACCGGCAATAACTTCCTGATTTCTGGATTTAACCACATATGTGTAATCACAGGAAGTTGCCACATAGTTAAATGCAGAAGAGCTGGCTGTCAGTTACCCCATCCTCCGGAAGATGCACCATAATAATAGCTTGCCAAGAGACTCAGCATTTGAAAGGCTGGAACATGTTGTAAAATAGCTGTAATTATGTAGTATATATGTTCTAAAGTCACCAAAAAAAAGTTAGACCATATCAAACACCTTTTGGAAGTTTACGTTCACCACAACAACAGCATTACTCTCATCAACCCTCCCATCACGAACCTCAATCAAGTTAGTTAAACAAAACTTTCCTTTAATAAATCCACATTGGCTTCCCTTAGTTAATCCACATTTGTTCAAATGAATGTTAATTTTGCCCTGGATCATCATCTTTAAAAGCTTTCCCACCGCTAAGATTAAACTGACAGGCCTTTAGTTTCTGGGTTAATCCTTATGCGTATTTTTGAACAAGAGTAGGCATTTGCAATTCTCCAGACTCGTTGCACCACCCTAAAGGAGGTTGAGATAATTCCAGCTGGTGTCTCCACAATTTTGACTGTTACTTTCCTCAACATTTTTGGGTACATAATAGTCTGGTCCTGGTGACTTCTTGGTGACTCCATAATCTTCCCAGCTCCTGAATGACTTGAGCATTGGTGAGAAAATGGGGAGAATCGATTGAGATGGGCAGTAGGAGCTTCCTGCCTTTGAAAGCAGAAGTTTCATTTTCCACATATTGAAAACTGGAGTGAGATTCTCACTATTGAGCAACAAGAGACCTATTGCATCAATTAACATGTGCTAACATCCTCATTATTAGGTCATCTTACCCACTGATATTAGTTTCCCATTCTCCCACCCATTTTCAGTAACTGGACAGTGACAATTCTTGACATGAAAGTCAGAGTGGTAACATGGTGACTGCAGCTCATGGCTTGTTCCTCTGGCCCTCCCATCAGTCACTAACGGCTCAGGACATGCTTTATGGGCAGCGACCACATACATCCCATCCAACAAGATCTCTAGATCCCCATAAGCAAAGTATGATACCAATTACTTTCTCTGACATATCTGGGACAAAAAAAACAAATCATTCAGGGCATCTGTGGGCTGCTAGCAGTTGACTGGGTGCACAGTTAGGCTTTAACGATGCTCCTGGTGCCAGCAATCCCAGAAGGTTCTTAGCTGTGGCTAATACTTCCAACCGTGATGAATGAAGAATCTGATAAACAAGAAGTCATTGGGGAATAACACATGGGTAATGAAGAAAGTTTGGGAATATAGAACAAGAAAATTCACTCAGGCTTGCAGAAATAAACCATCCATGAAAGTTACTAAAATTGATGCTTAGCAGATTTCTAGTAAGATTCAGCCTATTATCTTTAACTATGACCAGCCTTATGAATATCTCTTTATCCAGTTTTAGCCCAACCATATCTCAACTGCCTCCTCTTTGACTATGATATGGACAACACCTTCTTCTTTATTAAAGGCAAATGCAAGGTACACATTTAGTACCTCAGCCATGTGCAAATCCACTTTTTACTCCTAGTCTACCTTACTGCTCCTTTTACAAGTCTTTTACTATTTACATACCATGTAAAATGCTTATATTCCCTTTTATGTAACTGACCTTCAGCCAATGAATTGGATGTACTCTGAATTCTACCATTTACTACTTGCTATTTTCCATAGCTAATATCTATAATGACCACTTTCCCCAAAATGATTCCCCCTTGAGACTTGATCCACTTGATCTATGATATAAAGGTGCCAGTAGTGGTCTGGGGTGGACAAGGTCAGAAGTCATATGACACCATGTTTTCGTCCAACAGATTTATTTGGAATCATGAGCTTTCAGAGTGCTGCCCCTTCGTCAGGTAAAGTGTGAAGTATCATACCTCACCTGATGAAGGAGCAGCACTCCGAAAACTTGTAATTTCAAATAAACCTGTTGGACTATAACCTGGTGTCATGTGACTTCTGCATTTTATCTATCTTATTCCACAGAATCAAATCCAGCAATCTTTCCCCTCCTGCTGGGTTAGAAACATACTAATCTATAAAATTCTCCCAAACACACTTCAGATATATTTCCATTTTTTGCCATCTAAGGGTTAGGGAGAAAGGGCAGGAAAGTGAGGAGTGTCAGATCAGCCACAATCTTATTGAATGGTGGAACAGGCTTGAGGTGCCAAAAAGCCTTCTCCTGTTCCTATTTCTTGTGGTCTTATTTATATTGTTACTATCCCAATCAATACTAACTTAGGAAAATTAAAGTTCCATTTTAACTACAGCAAAAGTTTTATTTTTTCATGGCATGGTGACATCACGAACAATGCCAACATTTTTTGACCATCTCCAATTGCCCTTGAACTGAATGGCTTGCAAGCCCCTTTCATATGGCAGTCAAGAGACAATCCTGACGTGATTCTAGAGTCGCATTTAGACCAGATGAAGATGATAGATTTCCTTCATTTAAGGGCATTGGGGCACCAAATAGTTTTATTTAAAACTATCAGTGATAGTTGTCATGGTCACCATTACCAAGGCTAGCTTTATCTTCCAGATTTAAAAATTAAATTTTAATTTCATCACCTGCCATGGTGGGGTTTGAACGCATGGCCTCAGCCCATGTCTCCAAGACATTAGTTTGAACCTCTGGATTATTTGCCCAGTGATATTGTCTCTACACTACAATCTTGCCAGCTCCTCATTTTGCAACACACCAAAATTTACTTGCTAAGTGTTTTCATGTCAATCTTTACCATTAATTTCTGGTCTACAGAATATATCCTGTAGTGTTATGGTATGTCTACTGTTCCTGAACTTGAGCTGAATAAATTGTATTCCTGACCCCTCTGGTACAGCCTCTCTCTTAAGCAATCATGTTGTGGTAACGTGTAGTAGACTGGTAACCCAGAGCCCCAGGCTAATATTGTCGGGGTTAGGGGGTTCAAATCCCACCAGGGCAGACTGAAATCTGAATTGAATTAAAATGCTGACCTAATGTCAACCATGTAACCACTATTAAATGTCATTTAGGGATGGAAATCTACCAGTCTTACTTGGTCTGGCCTACATCTGATCCCAGACCCACAGCAATGTATTTGACTCTTTAACTATCCTCTAGGCAATTAGGAATGTGCAGTAAATGCTGGTCTGGCTTGCAACATCGATATCATCTGAACAAATTCTCCTTACATCAGTATTGACAGGCCTCTTCCTTTCTTTTATTCCCTATCTTTCCTGAATATGTTGCGTCCAGGAATATTTAAATTCACTTTTTTGGAGTCAGATCTCCATCATTATATCATATTGTCACACAGATATCTGCACCTGTAGTGCAACATCCTTGTTTACAATAATCCTCACCTTCATGCACATGCATTTTTAGGGCCCACTGCAGATCCTCTTATGTTAATTCTAGTGCATGCCTTATTCCAAATAGAGTTTATGCATTACCAGTACTATCTGAGAGACGCTGTAAAAGTTCTTTGACCAAGTATTTAAAGTTTGCCTTGGGGAGGGTAAATGATGCATGCTCTTGCTGAGTTGAGCTAGTTTGCATGTGCTTTTCCTTCTCCTTCTGGCAGTCAACCCAGCAGACAAGGGATTACAACTATTGAGAAGGTAAAGCTGACCATGAGTGATCCTGGGGTACCTTCACCAGACAACATCAGTCTCTCGTGACTGACAAAATCTAGAATGCATTTTAGAGCTGTATGCATACCATGATCTCAACTTAAACAGAATAATAATCCACTGCATGATTAGAAATCCAGACAAAGAAAGAATCACAACATAAGTTCAAAGCAAAACAAAAAGCAAAAATATGCAGTACAGCTTTTCAGCATCTGAAAAATAGAGTAATTCAGAACTGGAACTTAGTGCAAGGAGAATCAGCTGCCAAATGTTTGGTTTGCTCTTTGCTTTCCAAGTCCTGAGAAACTCTTGAGTATTCCAAACATTTTCCATTTTTCCTTCAGATTTCCAGCAGTTTAAAAAATTTGGAACATAAATTCAAAATCCAATCTGTCCAATGATGTTAGCGTAAGAATGCAAGCAATATATATAATATGTATATCAGACAGCAACATTTCAACAAGTCAGGTAGTTTAATTTTCATTAATAGATAATTGTATTAATTAACTGCTTTCTAAAGGACTGCCTACTAAGTATAGTGAATATACTATAAAAGTTCACCTTAGATCATTGATAAATGTTTTGTACATTATGCCACAGTTCTCTGAGCTTTGTAATTTAGATTAAACCTCAGGATAAACACTTAAGTAGTTTGGTAATAAAAAAAACTAACAGACAATCATGCATTTAAAGGGCCCCTGAACTCTAGACATAAATTTATGAAGAATGATAGTTGTGAGAACTTGACATTGTCCCCATGTCTGCGTGGGTTTCCTCCTGGTGCTCCAGTTTCCTCCCACAGTCCAAAGATGTGCAGGCTAGGTGGATTGGCCATGCTAAATTGCCCATAGTGTCCAGGAGCGTGCAAACCAGGTAGGGAAATGCAGGGTTACAAGGATAGGTTGGGTCTGACTGGGATGCTTTTCAGAGGGTTGTATAGGCCTAATGGGCTGAATGAACTGCTCCCACACTGTAGGGATTCTATGACTTTGCTCACAATGACACTGACACATAAACTGCCTTCAGCTTTGGAGAACCTTTGTGAAATGTGGGCAGCCAAGCTGCATTGGGGTTGCAGTGCAGCACAGCAACAGTGATACCTGTGGGAGTGAGTTGCAGTACTGCGCTTTTCCTCTTGGCGGTACTCTTGCATAGTGGACGACAGCTGTGTATTGCGATAACCGCGGTCATAGTGCCGGTGGTGTTTCTGATAGAAAGGTAAAGACAGCGAAGACATTGTGGGCAGTAAAATCCAAACTGTTCCTGATCGCCTGTACGAAGTCTTCAAATCTATTCATAGACAAATGAAGACACATTCAGGGACAAAGAATAAGGAAAAAGTTGTTCCATTAATCTGAAAATTGATCAAACAATAATGAGTGAAGCTGGTTCCTATAAAGAGAGAGGACTGTGCTGGTTCGAAAATATAGGGACGGGCAGTCGCTGCCAGCCTGGTCTGTTTCCTGACCTTTTCTGGTCTGATCCATGAATGGCCGAAGCAAAGAGCATTTAAAACTCCGCAGCTAATGTTTCAAAGACATATAAAGTAGCCAACAATGTGCAAGGTTGCGTTTGCATAATACATTAATAAGAACGATAAATTAAAGGAAATACTGAGGTCTTAAAATCCGTGGCATATTTCAAAATGTTTTAATATATATGCAAATCTTTGTGTGAAATAAAATGAGATCTATTTCAATTACCCCTTAATGATTTTAAGTGATCCGATGTCGTGCTGATAACCCCTTACAATAATCACAATGTTACAATTACAGATAACACATGTTCCTTAGCTGCTCTGACTTCATTGCATTAAACATCTCATTCTCCTGTATTGGATTTTCTATTTCAAAAACACCATGAAAAATATTCTGACATAATTGCAGCCAATTGGATTCTCTTCATGTGAAAAAAAATCTTAGTTCATTCTCATTTTTAGACTTGTTCGTTTATCTTATGCAAAGACTGTACACCCCAATTAACAATCACTAGCCAGTATTTCTGACATACCACCGCGCTGAAAGTACATTTAGAACTGCAGCGGTCAGCTGCTGACTGGACCCCATTTAATAAATCAAACTAACATTTAAATCTCAGAAACACCGTACATTATTGCTAAACGGATGCACGAACACCGAGCCCTTACCAAATGTCAAATGTTTCTTGGGAGTTTTGGTGAAATGCAGGCGATAAGGCTCCGTATATTGAATCGAGGGAGGCAGTGGGAGGGAGAAGGCTGCAGACTCGGCTCCAGGGTTCAGTACAAAAATAATGTCTCCCGTCAGTGGAATGTCGAAGCCAGAGTCCCGACCTTTTATGGCCAAAAGGATTGATAAATATAGCACTCGAAGCAAACGAAGTTAGTAATCACCAACTGTTAGTAATTCAACTGCAGGTAAAAGACTTTCGGATGCAGTTGAAATCGGAATTTCAAGTACTTGAGTTAAAGTTCCAAGTCGCTGAGCTGTTTTATCCCGTCGCTTCTTAAATCTGATATATTTCACTCATATTGGACACCCTCTGTACCTATCACGGGATTGACTGTTGAGAACTGGACCTAAGCCTCCTTAGTGATTAAATATGTATATATATATCGGAGGTGTGGTTTGAAATGTATAAGGATCACTCCATACATTCCCCGAATGAGCAGTGTAAATATATCCACCGTGAAGAAAGCATCTGTGGAGGGAACAATGTTACGAACATAACAGGCAAGCAACAAGCGGTGAATTTCACAAGCAACTTTACGCATTCATTTCAAAATTGGAAATCCACGATTAGTAGATTACTAAACCAAAAACCTTTCTGGTTCAACTTGTTTTACCTACAGCTCCCTGACTTAAAGCATTTAAAAGAATTAATTCTGTGTATTTTAGAAATGAAACGTTCAATAATAGTGAGCTGGGAGGTGTTAGTCCAAGCACTGTCTGTTCTTCAAGTTTGCCTGTATTGTTATTGCCTTTTTCTTATCATTCTCTTGACTTGATATCATGTATTATACAAACACTTGTACCATCTTGTTATTTAAGGCAATGATCATTCCTAGTGTAATTTCTATAATTGGCTGCTCCATGTCACTTGTGCAGATTGTTTTCTTCATTCGCAGTGTATATGTATACATGCAAGACCAGCAAATATTATCCATCCTTAATTGCCTTTGAGAAGGTAGTGATGAGTTGCCTCCTTGAAAATTGTCCATTGTAGGTAGACCCACAGTCCTTTCAGGGAGGGAGTACCAGGCTTTTGACCCAGGGGATGAAGAGCCATCAATATATTAAATTGGAATTAGTCAGTGGTCCTTCTTCACCAGAAAAAATTGGAGACTCTCCAGAAAGTCTGTTGTTTTATTACAATCTACTTCAATATTATCACTTCCCAAGCCATCTCTATTGGGTTCAATTCCGCCATGCGATTCACCTGAATACTCAATCATTCTCTTTGTCCAATTACTACCAAGATCATTGATGACTCCTTTATACTATTTTGCTTCCCTTAAATCCCACCATTATTTCTCATCTCAAGAGGTGCACTAGACACATCTTTCTTTTAGAATGCTAACTTTCCTTCAATCTTATTTCCTAATCCATGTTCTTGAACCCATTGTCATCAAAAATTGGCTTGTTGAATCAATACAATTTGGTTGCCACACTGCCTGCAGGTTACAGAATAGGCACCAGATTATTATCAAATATTAAAGCCCATCAGTTGTCACTATAGGTTGAGACAGCCATGAGTTTTTATTTTGCTAAATGCTGACTTTGGGGCAATGAAATAACAAAAGTATTTGTGTTGAACTAAGAGGATTCGAACCATTTCAGTTGGTAAGAAGAGTGCACTCAAGACAATGTTACAAAAACTTAGAAGCTGCTAGAAGCTGCTTTTTGCAAACAATGGCAACATCTGGAATAAATTTCTGGTAAGTCTTCGAAGTCCTCATTTACTGCAGATGTTCAGAGGATGTTAACACATTTCTGAGAGTGGCTAACATATCTGTATATAGATGACTTGTAGTTTCTTGGTCTCCCAAGACAAGTAAAGAAGTTGGGATTCCTATAGTTTCACACTCAATAATTTTGGAATTATTGGCGATCTTGCAAGTAGAGCTAAAGCTACTTTTTCACCATTCATGCTTGGTACTAAAATAAGGGGGATTAAAGTTATCCTGCAGAATAATGGCTACAATGATCAGATCACTTCTCACTGTATATCATGTAAATTCATTGAACATTCTAAGATTGTTAGTCCTAAAAAGTCCACAATCTAAATTACATTACCCTAGATGGGTAGGGAATCTAAAGGGTTTGAGCAACAGGTGAAGCTAACTGTTTCATGCTGGTATTATACAGGAACAACATGGGTGGTGTTCAGAAGATGCTGTTATCAAGTCAAAAATCTGTCCTCCTATCATACACAGTAGCTCAGTGATTAGCGCTGCCTCACAGTGCCAGGAACCTGGGTTTGATTCCACCCTTGGGCGACTGTCTGTGTGGAGTTTGCACATTCTCCCCGTGTCTGCGTGGGTTTTCTCCGGGTGCTCCGGTTTCCTCCCACAGCCCAAAGATGTGCAGGGTAGGTGGATTGGTCATGCTAAATTTCCTATAGTGTTCAGGGATGTGTAGATTAGGTGGGTTATAGGGCGATGGGTCTGGGTGGGATGTCTGAGAGTCGGTGTGAACTTGTTGGGCTGAAGGGCCTGTTTCCACACTGTAGGGATTCTATGACTTTATAAATCAATAACATGGTATATGGATTTCAGTGCTGCTGTATATTCCAAGGATTAGTGAAACATATCAAACAGAATATACTGTCAGGTGTTCACCACAAGCAAAGTGCTGACTGTACCCTGCTAGCCCATGCTTATAAAACTCACAATACAATGATCATTGCTAAATAATCCTTGAGTGTGTGAAGAATTATGTTGACAATCAATTTAGGATTGTCAGTCAGGCTGAGTATGGTACATTTGTGTGTACTGGAAACTCCATATGTTAATATGTTAATCCATTCTGAGGAACGGTCACCAGACCAGAAATGTTGATTCTGTTTTTTCCTTCACAGATGCTGCCAGACCTGCTGACCTTTTCCAGCAACTTTGTTTTTGTTCCTGACTTACAGCATCCACAGTTCTTTTGGTTTATATCCATATGTTAATATGCAGGGCTCCATTCTTTGCAGATAGAATGAACATATGCCCGCATGGTGTCTGTTTCATCCCAATAAATAGGTGACAGCCTGTCTTGGGCTCATTTCTCAGGACAATGCCATCACCAATCAGGGTCAATCTGCTTTAAAATTTAAACAAAGCCTGACAATTAAATGTTAGTCATCCTTAATTTCTATATTCTCTGTGGTAACACTTCTAGCAAACAGATTTTGCTTGCCAACAAATGAACATTCTCCTTTCAAATAGGAAAGGATTTCCTGCTTTATCACTTAACTGATATTTCTGTGAATTTTCCTGATGAGTGCAAAACACAAAGTTTCAATTAAATATGTCTTTTTTTCAACAATACTTAAATTCTGTACTGCCAAATGACAATTTAGTTTGACTTGTAATCAAATATTTTCATGATATTTTCCAAATGGCACATGATCATTACTATAAGAGGAGTTTTATATTGATTGGATTCTTTGAATTGCTTAAAACCCTGATAACAAAGGATGACATTAGGACTTTTGTGAGAAAAAGTTTTAGCTCAGAAAATCACAAAGTAGAATCAGAATGAGTAGAAATTAGATATAATAAATGTAACAGTAATTTATTAATCCCTAACAGTTGTTATAGATACTTTGATCAGCCTGTCCAGAGATGTTATGTCATGTCTCTGTAGCAGGTGAGACTTGGACCTGAAATTTCAGGCCCAGTGATAAGGACACCATCACTGTATCACAAGAGCCCTCAGAACAGTAGTTATACCATTGGACAGAGAATCAAACCCAAGAAATTATTAGAACTTGTAACTAAGACAATGTAACAGTTGCTGGAAAAGCTCAGCAGGTCTAGCAGCATCCCTGAAGAGAATTTAGAGTTAACGTTTCAAAACTAGTTCTGAGGAAGGGTCACCGGACCCAAAATGTTAACTCTGATTTCTCTTCACAGATGCTGCCAGACCTGCTGAGCTTTTCCAGCAATTTCTGTTTTTGATTTAAAGCATCTGCAGTTCTTGCGGTTTTTATTTTGCAATGTAACAACTGTCAGAGATTTTAATATTCAAATAGATTGGATCAATCAAAATGATTAGTGTGATATGGAAGCTGAGTTTGTAGAATTTCGATTGGAGAATATAAATCACACTAAATCATTCCTTTTTCATTTTTGCAAAATAGGAGTTGCTTCATCATATTATTGTTTTGTGTACATAGGCTTACAGTTATCCCCATCTGCAATTCATACCCAGCCAATTGACTGTTAAATAGAATGAATTTATAATTTCCATTCATCTATTAATCTTTTTAATACTTCTGCATGGTGAGAGCATGTTTTAATTTTGGAATGTTTATTTGAAGATACAAAGGATAGCAGTGGTGCAAATAGAAATGAGAAGTAACAACTGGAGTTTGCAAAGAATTCATTGAAGTATTATTAGCAGGAGGCAGTGGGAGGTCGATATCTTAATTATAGATTACACACCTTTCCGAATACTTTAGTAAATCCATTTTAAAACTCTTCAAAAATAAAAAGTCTTACTTTTAAGCCTATCACAGTCCTTTCTTAAAATACAAATGTAAAACTTTCTTGTACATTTTAAACATAACTGGCAAATTCTAGCATGCATGCATTGCTATGTGTTAGTATGTTTCTTCTTGATTTTTAACAACACTATTGCTTTGGGACATTCGAAGGAAAAGGAAATGCAAATTCTATCTTTTACCACTGTTGATTGTGTATTTACCTGTACAGCTTTGAAGACACTACATTTTTATCTTTTAGAAATGCTACAATGTTCTCTATTTGAGGGGAAATTAGATCATACAAGTTTGTTCCAAATTCTGTTCTGTTTCACAAGCACATGACCAGACAGGACAACAATCAAGTCATTTACTTTCTGTAGGGTGTTGAAATGTTTTCTTGAACATCATAGTAATTGAGGTTGTTTTCATATGTATGTATCCAGTGCAGGAAAAGAATAAAGAATACCAAGATATGAGCAAGGCAAAAGAGTAGGTCACTCAGTTGATCTGATTTTA